AAAAAACAGCAAGCGTAGATTATGCCTATCTAATTTAATTCTATTTTAGTAATATAGATTGCAAATAATACTGCACTGCTATGTGGTTTAACAAAATAAACATAAATAAACTTAGTAAGCTTAAATTATAAATATAACAAAAAATCTGAGTTTCTAATGACAATCTTAGAAACCGATTGTTGGTTATATTTAGGAACGCAAAAGTTTCATAAATTCATTTTAAATTTCAATGATTGCAAATTGAAAGCGTCATATGAAATCATCAATTTTTTTTTTAAATTAAATATTTTATTTTTGATTATAAAACTTTCGCGTTTTATTAGAAATAATAAGTAAATAAAAGAAGCTCCAATCAGCAACGACATAACTCACTTTCAATCCACTCACCGAGACTGACTTGCCCAATTGCCCCAAATACCCCCGCTGTCGAATGATCCATGGCCTGAACACCGCCCAGATAGCCCAGGGCCTGGCCTGCCGCTGCAGCAGATGTTACAGCAGCGGCTGATGCAGCTGCTGCAGCGGCGGCGTTATTTTGTTGTTGCTGTTGGTGATGCACCTGTAGAAATAATAGATGATAGTATTTTGAAATTTGAAATAATGGTATTGATTTGCGATGCCAAAAAGAGTATGAGTACTTATTTTGCATTCAATAAAGGCAGAATTATGAGGTAATGGACCAATGTTTTCACATCAAATTTATTTAGTGATTTTTTCATAAATGATTTCAAAAATATAATGCCTCACTTCTGTCAAAGCAATAATTCACATTTCCAACACAATTTGATTTAATTTATAATATTATATTTTGTAGCTTAAAAATCATATTTCATCAGATCGTTCTTGATGCATAAAATAATAAAATTCAAATATAAATCACCTTGATGTTTGCCAAGATTATAATTAATTATTTATTTATAGACATATTGCATGGTTGAAAATTGCAGTTTTCTAAAATAGAACACATATCAAAAGCTCAATAACAAATGAATTACTATTTTTAACTTCCCGTAGGGTAAGTTATAGTAATCGCAAAAAAATCGAAAATGAAATTTTTTATATATCTTTACGTTTCAGAGGTTTCTGAATATTTTGGCATATCGCAGAAAAAAATTTATGTGTGTGTGTGTGCGGATACAAATTTTAGTAACATGGATCCAGTGATTTGATAAGAATTTTCAAAATATTTCAATATACAATTTTCTTCAAAAAGTCTTTTTTTCAAAAAAGTAAATTTTTGTCAACAATTTATAGTTTCTCAAAAATCTAATTTTTCAGATTAATTTTTTTTCAAAAATGTTAGTCTTTTAAACAAAAAATATTTTTTGGTACGGGAAGTTCCCCGAGTTTAGTTTCAATTAATTATTTTTACATACAAGTCTAAAAATTTTATTATACCTGTGCAGCCCCCAAAGCGGCGCCCAAGCCCACGCCCAAAGCTCCATGCCTGGCCAAAACCAAAAGAGCAGCACATATCTCAGATGCCGCCGGCTCGCTGTAACTTGAATTGCGTAATTGCAGCTAGAAAAAAAGAAATATTTGTCAGCACTATATTAGAACATGACTAACCCCAATCTTCTTACATATTACTTATTACTGCGCGAAATGTTATTTCCAAATTATTTACCTTAATATGATCTACAAATTGCGCAGCAAGAGCAGCGTTGGGAGCTGCATTTTGTGGTCCTAACAAGTTTAAGGATAATTGTAAACCGGCTGCAGCAGCAGCTGTGGCTCCTACTCCATTTACTAAAATGCTACCGGCTGTTCCTGGACCAACACCAGCAACACCTGTAATAAATAAATATAAAATTCAATCGTTTATATTTAGGAGTTCTTGAAAGATATTCAAAAAGCAAGATTATCTGCATTCGTACATTTTTAATTTATAGTAAAATTACAAATTCGAAAAATGAAGTAAAAATAGCACATATCACTATCGATGTAGAAAATTTTTATATTTATATAAATAACAACTTTCATGTAATGACCTCTACTTTATATATCGCTTTCTAGCTCATACTCCATTAGCTTTGATTTATTTCAATAGTCGTTCATTAACTTGACAGACACCAATAAACGATCTCCATGATCGTTTGATTATAGTATAACTTCAATTTTATTACCGCATAACTAATGCAAAAACACTCCTATTGTTTAATTTTCAATAGATATTACAATTAGCAGATCATTTCAATAACCAACTCCTCGAATGCCTTTCAAAATTGATTTAAGATTATGCAGAACATGAATGACTGGTGACAGTCTGACCTCAAGCCTCTAATATAACATCAATTGCAATAGACATGGAGTTATTATAATTTGTCCATTGACATAGATTTCTCTAGATTCTTCATTATGACATTTATCAGTTAGATTCACTTACATCATTATAATTGAATAATAATAATTAATTAATTAAGCATTAAAATATTCTACTGACCTTGTTGCTGCTGATGAGCCGCATACGGGGATCCAGTAGGATTGAAATTCGCGACTGGTCCAGCAACGTCGGCGTAAGAAACATTTAAACACGTCCCAGATTGTGGGTCATCTACAACTTTTGCTAAAATCATCATGCAAGCTGCCTTGTTTGAATCCTTATCACCTAAGGAAATAAAATAATGTGAACAAAAAAAAAACATATGTAATATTTATTATTGTTATTTTATCTACATATATATATAAATAAGTCGGGTTTTCCTTTCTGACGATATAACTCCAGAACGCACAAACCAATTTTGACAATTTTGCATTCGTTGGAAAGGTCTCGGGCTCCCCAAGGTTTATAGCTAAGAAAATTAGTGGTGCATGGCATCGTGCCTTAATGCAAATTGCTGGAACTTCACGCACCGTAATTAAAAATTCGAGTAATGACATTAGTGAGAATTATTAGAATTATGCTTGGTTAAGTCAACGAGCAATTCTTGCCGCAAAGAATAATGATGTACACGCACTGAATTTCACCATTCAATCAAAAATTGCTGGCGATTTGGTGACATACCAATGATTCCGACTGGTCTTCCGTTTGACTTCAAACGATTGCAATTTTCAGTTCGCCTTGCGTTCGCAATGACAATTAACAAGGCCAATCGCTCAGTGTTTGCGGGATAAATTTCGAATTGATTATTTAGAAAATCATTGTTTTTCACATGGGCAGTTATAGGTTGCCTGTTCACGAGTTGGACAACCATCCGCTTTGTTTGTGTTATTGTCAGACCAAAAAACATAAAATGTGGTTTACCAAAGAGCACATCAATGAAACGGATAATTTGCGGATTCACTTTCATTTACTTAGAGAAGTTCAACTAGAAAACACTTCATTTTTGTAATCGAAATAAATTCAATACTGTACTGTAATAAAATATATTTTTTCCTTTTCAAATATAAAACAAACAAAAAATTTCTTCATCTTTCTCACGAAACCATCTGGTGGCGAAATCTGGGTTTGCTAGCATTTTATATAACAAACATTTTTTACGTGGATACAAACCGTATTTATAAATTTTAAGATTAAATCTTTTCAATCGTAATAAAATCTCTTATAAGGGTTGCTTGTACTGACCTATAACAGTAATGCATCGTTCTTGTAAAGATAGATCTTTGGCTTTCTGAGAAATTTGTACATAAGATCCCGTCTCCTCTTTGATTTGTTTAATGTAATTACCAGCTTTGCCAATAATCATACCAGCCGTTGAGTTTGGTACTAAAATTTTTACTTGTTTATCTCTATCTTGCGTACCCGCCAAAGCTGAAAAAATAATCATTGAGCGTATAAATATCGTAAACTTGATCTCTAAAATTTGCCAAAAATATATAAAATTAAAATTTCAACATGCAATCAAATATAAGATATCTTATATTGGTTTCTTATTAACAATTTGCTTAAATAATTCAAAGATGTTTATATAAATTCAACTTACCGCTTATCCCGTTAACATCACCAGCTCCGGCTAATTGTTGTTGCTGTTGTAGAGTAGCGTTTTGTTGTTGTTGTTGTTTGCTGATATCCGGTTTTTCCCTGATTCGGTCCATTATAAAGTCCAATACCTGCATGATAGCGTCCACGCTTCCTGTTATCAAACAAACCCGCTCCGACGTTCCTGAAGAGAAAAATAAACATCGCGGTCACAGCATTGGCATGAATTACTTTCGCACCGATATAAATCAATTTGTATAATTTCATTGGAGAAACTGGATTTTGTTATTAGAAAATAGTTTAGCCAGAAGTGCTAAACCAAAAATAATATCTTAGGTACTATGGTAACCACTTTTTTTAAAGTCAAAAACCGGGACAGCAATTTTTAGTTATGCTAATCCGGGACACGAGGAAGGGGGGTTCCTTTAAAATAACAAATGCTACTTAAGAATACACTAAAAAAAAATTAGTTTTTTTTATATGAATAAATTTTTTTTAATCGGAATTGCGGACTTTTAGTAAGAACTTTATTATTCAATTATATGTAGTACACTTTTATCTATTTTATCTCTATGTTTTTCTCGCTTTTGAGTCTCTATTCAATTTTCTTAGCACTTGTTCGTTTATTTTTTATAATTTTGCTTATTAGTTTTCGAAAAACCGGGACTATCCGGGAAAAAAGATTTAAATCCGGGACAAATATTGCTTTTAAAAAAAGGCTGCGGCACAAGTTGGAAATCCGGGACGTATGGTCACCTTATTGGTATTCTATAATCGAGTATTTTAATATTATGAGGACTTCTCTACTCTATAATCTTTTTACAAGCCATTTTCAAGACAACCAACAATTTAATATATTTTTTAATTTTTAATATATTCAATTTTTTTTATAATATTTAAGGTACTCTATCATCTTTTTACAAACCATTCACGAGATGCGACTGGTTAATCAAATGTTTAAATTGACTAATGATATTTGATATGTTCCATGTTAATTTTATTTAAATTTTCTTAATGTGCATAAATTCGATTTGAGTGTTTTAATATTATGAGGACTTCTCTACTCTATAAACTTTTTACAAGCAATTTCCAACAACCAAGACAACCAACAATTTAATATATTTTTTAATTTTTAATATATTTAATTTTTTTTTAAATTATTTAAGTTACTCTATCATCTTTTTACAAAACTATTTACAAAATGGGACTGGTTGTTCAAATTTGTAAATTTGACTAATTGATTTGATATGTTCCATGTTAATTATATTTGAATTTTCCTAATGTGCATAAATCCGATTTAAGTATTTTAATATAAATGAGGACTTGTCTACTCTATAATCTTTTCATAAGCCATTTACAAGACAACCAAAAATAATATTTAAGGCACTCTATAATCTTTTTACCAACTATTCACAAGATGTGGCTGATTATTCAAATTTGTGAATTTGACTAATTGATTTGATCTGTTCCATATTAATTTTAATTACATTTTCTTAATGTGCATTAAGTATTTTATTATTATGCGGACTTGTCTACTAAATTAAGATTCATTTCAAAGATTGCAAAGCAGTTGAGCAATTTATTTCGATTGTGATCGATTCTATCTTTCACAAATCGCATTAAATATAATTATTTATTTTATATATTCAAAGTAAATAACGTAATAGGATTATCGTTTCCTAGAAACAGTAAAACTAATTTTACACAGATTTACAGTCAATGAATAATAGACATAGTTATGTAATAGAAACTAATAAATCTGTCCACTATCATTGATGAAGATAGAAGTATTAAATAATTAGAAATAATAACAAAAATTTTATTAAACAATTATGCTACTACTAAGCAGCATACAAATAAAATTTTAATCACACTCATGGGACAAACATTTGACTTTGAAATAGTATCACAAAATGTTTTTTTTTTTAATTTCAATATTTCTTACAACTGCTAAATAATATAACATCTAGTAATATAAGTGAATAGTAATATAAATATAAATAAAATAGAGTATAAAATAAAGGATAGTATTTTCATTAAAATTTAATATAAATATACCTATAAAATAAATAATTATGTTTTGCGATTTGGGAATCATAGAATCGATCACAATCGAAAAAATTGCTCAACTGGTTTGCAATCTTTGAAATAGATCTTAATTTAGTAGACAAGTCCGCATAATAATAAAATACTTAATGCACATTAAGAAATTTTAAATAAAATTAATATCCGTATTATGATGATTTAATATAAATAAAAGCAAATAATGATAATAATAAAATTATTAAAAAAAAATTGTGAAATAAATAAAATTATAAAAGTAAATTACATTAAATAAAATATACATTTGAATTAAATTAAAAAAGTAAATAACTTTAAATAAATTATATATTTTAATCATAATAAATATAAAATGTATACTCCACAAAATTATTTTATGATTTTCATCTTTTATCATAGTTGCCATAAGATGTCAATCTACTATAAAAAAAATATTTCTTTGTCAACTGCGGTTTCAATTTGAATCGCTCTATTTAACAGAGATGAAAGCACGGTAAACTTAGTACTTGCGTTTTACTTTAATATACATTACTCCTAGAAGTAAAGGAAGAAAAATAAAATAGATATAAAATCTCTAAAGCACTTTGTATGGTTCGTTTTTATATATAATGATTTAGATTTAAAGTACCTATTCCGTAGGAAATTCTTAATAAAACATGTGTGACCGATGTTTAATATACACGTATATTATTATTTCTGCAGTATCAAATTATATTCGAACAAATAAACATATTCAATTAATTAATCTTAAAGTATGCGGTAATATCGTTTACTATTATAAATATATAATGAAAACGCTTGCCAAGCTGAAAATATTTATTACAATTCGAATTCAATCTAATCGTTTGTTTATGCAAAGTATACAAGCCAAATATTCGGGTAAATTATCCCGTAAAATACAAATGGAATTGCAAGATACATGTTGAAGTAGGATCAAGCGTACATTATTTTCATATTTTAACAGATCTTTATGAAAATAATTGGTTTAAGATATAAATATTTACTAAACATGCAACTAATTTATTTCAACTGTTATGTGCTTCACCTTTTTTTAACAAAGTCATACAAACATTAATTATAATTTTAAGAGGATCAACTTTTTAAATTAGACTTACTCCTCAGATTGTTCAATTTACAATATTTGCACAAATGATACTTGTTCTAACTACGAAAGCGATTTATTATACATATTAAATTGTTATTAAATTATTTACCTGGATAAAAGTCATGTGATTTCGACATCTTGACGCGTGCTCCAGTGTCCTTTTGCAGTTGTGCGATAGTTTCGCCCCCCTTGCCGATGATTGCACCCGCCGCCACTGACGGGACCAATGTTTTAAAGTGATACGTGCCATCGCCTCCTAGAAAAATAGGAAAAATCTTTTAATATAAAAATATTATACCGTATAATTTTTTGTATTATGAAGACCCAATTATCAAATCGCAAAAAAAACACCTGAGGATTTTTATAAATACTTGAATTACTTTTTGATATAATAATTTATTTACTAAAAATTTAGTAAAGTTCACAGTTATTTATCAGTATATTAAATTAATCAATTTAAATCAAGTGACCTAGCATTTTCATTAAACGCAGATTGCCTGAACATTTCACATTTTAATTATTCAAGTTGGCTTTTTTTATACAGGGAAAAACCAACTTAGTTTACGGTTTCATGTGTTCATCAATAATTCATTTCAAATAATAATTATGATTTTTTGTATCGAAAGCGGGTGATACATTTTTCAACATTACAGTTATACTGAAACATTTCTAAATATATAAAAAACTAGCAAACGTGAGAAAGATGAAGAAATTTTTTGTTTGTTTTATATTTGAAAATGAAGAATTTGATTTTAGTACACAACAGTAATGAATTTATTTCGTTTACAAAAATAAAGTGTTTTTTAGTTGAACTTCTCTAAGTAAATGAAATTGAATTCGCAAATTATCCGTTTCATTGAAGTGCTCTTTAGTAAACCACATTTTTTGTTTTTTGGTCTGACGTTAACACAAACAAAGCGGATGGTTTCCCAACTCGTGAACAGGCAACTTTTAACTGCCCACGTGAAGAACAAAGATTTTCTAAATAATCTATTTGAAATTTATTCCGCAAAATTGTTAATCGTCATTGCGAACTGGAAATTGCAATCGTTTGAAGTCAAACGGAAGACCAGTCGGAATCATTGGTATGCCACCAAATCGCCAGCAATTTCTGATTGAATGGTGAAATTCAGTGCGTGTACATCATTATTCTTTGCGGCAAGAATTGCTCGTTGACTTAACCAACCATAATTCTGATAATTCTCACTAATGTCATTACTCCAATTTTTAATTACGGTGTGTGAAGTTCCAACAATTTGCATTAAAGCACGATGCCATGCACCACTAATTTTCTTAGCTCTAAACTTTGCGGAGCCCGAAACCTTTCCAACGAATGCAAAATTATCGAAAACGGTTCGTGCGTTCTGGAGTTATATAGTCAGGAAGGGAAACCCGACTTATTTTTATATATATGTAGAAATACAAATCATATCGATGAATCTACATGTAGAGTAGATTATTTTTCATATTATTTCATCTCTAAATCTAACAATCGAATAAATATTATTACAATGGAACATAGAGCATATGAAGAGTCTGAGTTATGAAACAGATATTTGATGATAAAGATGATACATTATAAGATTCCAAGAGTTGATGGAGCGAAACCAAAGAAATTTAAAGTACAATTGCTCCTTCTGAATTACAAAATTTATCCAAAATTAATTCAATCTGAAAACGAGCCTTTTGAAGAAACATTCAATAACGAATCAAATTGATATTGCGGAATATATTTGCTAATCAAGAAATATCTATACATACGTTGACTTTTACCAATAATTATACGAAATTCTCCGTCGCAACAGCAATCGCTGGATTAATTTTAGCGTTTCTATATTTGTTTGTCTGCGTTCATTAGTGTAGATAATTACTTCGATACGACTAATTACGGCTCATAGACGCAGACGGTCGCATTTAGTCGGTAACAGGTAACAGGTATTTCGTGAACAATGGCGTATGGAGTCACTAAACAGCAGGTACATTTAATGGCAAGCGAAAACGGGGGCATTCATTCGCATGTTAAATATATTCACTTTTACAAAACAATAACATTTGAATTTATGCGAAACAACAATGTTATAGGCATGGCAGGGTTTAGGAAAATAATAATTAAAAATTATTTAACTACGATTGTTACTTCATTGCCATATATTACTCGCTATCTGACATTCTTTCTTCAATATTTGGAATATCATTAATCGAACAAGCAGATTTTTTCATTAAAAATGATTGGAAAGATCACTAAGTTGTGCTGATCGATGCATTAAGAAGGCTCATTTTCCATCATATAAATGGCAGTTCCAAAATTGTGCAACTATTATAATAGAATTACAATGAAGTGAAACAAAATTACAAATGAAACCCTGTGGCGGAGTGAGAAGGTGCTTCATCAAGCAGTTCCAACAAAAAAGAACAAACATTTTTTCTTTTTCCATAATAAAAACAAACAATTAAGTGAAAAGCGTAGGATATGTAGATCAGCAATCGGGGAACTTTTTTAATCATTACCCCAAAATATTATTATCTAAGTTGATATTACCCCCATGGCGAAGAAAGATTACTGACATACGAAGAACTATATAGCAAATACAGTAAATTTCATTAAAAATACATACTTTGTTCGGACGTATTTTCATTTTTATTACATTGGCCATGAAGGTGGCAATCTTCATGGCAATGAGCTTTTATACCTGATTGTTGCTACTTGTAGAGGGAGTAGCGGATTTGGATCGGACTTATTTTTCTCACTTCTAAAACTATAGTCCGCGTAACTTCTTCCATTAGAACTTAGTGACAAATCATTGGTGTAATAAGAACTTGCAACAAATACATAAATTATACAAACAACTCAGTGTTCAATACAGTCCACAGCTACAAAGGTTAAATAAAATATAGACTAACAACCTGAGTAAATCTAAGGAGAGACTTAATATGCATATAAATAATTTTTACCCCAAAAAATTTCAATTTTACTCCATTTGGGGTATTTTACCCCGGTTCCCCGACTACTGATGTAGACGAATGAATATTGACCTCGCTGGAGCATTTAGCCACATAATAGTCCTTATAATACATATGTAATATAAGGTATATGAGCTACATACATTATTGTTTTTGAAATTTTATCATTCATTTTTGACAATTTTCATTGCAAAGATTCTACATAATGTGATTGGTCCATTCATGTATATATGGTCACCATGTTCACTAATCAATTTTTATCCCAGTACTTCTTTTACTGTGGAGGATGTTGCCATTTCGGCCAAGCTCTCTGCATATGATCAAAATATCAATTGCGAATTTGATTTAAACCAACATTAACCTAACCTGTACACATTAACTATAATCCGTTCCAATCCCTGGCCTGTACTTGCACATAATATTATTATCATCGCCATGAGTGCAACACCACGGTCAAAAGCAGCCAGCGGCATATATTCTAGTAACACAATGCACATGATATAAACGCGCGAATAGAATAGCATAAGGACAATTTCACACTAAGTGGAGATATCTCATCATTAAACACTTGATTATTAATTTTTTAAAGCATTTTTTTAGACATGCATAATATATATTTATAACCTGTTCTCAAAATTTTGATATAAATTTGTTATGTGCTTAAAGGTCAATGCAAATTAATTCCATATCCAACGTGCCCCAAAAATGATTAATTAGAATCAGGTTTATGAGGCAAGAATATGAAGGACCACTGGTTAGGTGTTTTATATCTAGCTTAGCTAGCTCGATATCAAGCGGTAGTGATATCAGATTTTCATTTGAAATTATAGATCTCAAATATTATCTCATCAGAAAGAGAATGGTCAACTACTGGGTTGAAGAATGTACATCACATTAGCTCATAGAACACATCGCTGCAGTTCCAATATATAGAAATAATCATGTTTAGTTTACTATTATTATTCACTTAGCGATTTATCATACGTTTATATCAAAGCAATTATTTTTTTGGAGATACTGAATAGGCACAATGCATACCTATATAATCTGATTGTGAGTATAATTTGTCCCATTCCATATGTTCAATATTGATATTATGGCAACATATTGATCTAACTCTTGATTTATTAATATCACAATGGCCCAAATAAAAAATTATTAATCAAGTATCGATGTTTGATTGTTCACATGGCGCGTGTTGATACTATTTTGTACTTGAATTTTGTACTTTGATATATTCTCAAGTATTTACAAGTTTGAATAGAAGTTAAGAGGGAATCTATTAATAATACTAATATTTTTTGGTCTAATAATAATAGTCAGATACACTTCACAATGTTTTAAATTTAATCACTATAGCATAGTTTGATCGATCCCATCTGATCCCGAATAAGTATTTTGTGAAACATATAAGAAGATCATAATTAACAAAACAAGGCAATTATTAAACCAATATGGTCCTACGGTCTACAACTATGGGGTACGGCCAGTAAATCAAACAAAACTATTCTGCAGAGGTACCAGAACAAAATTTTAAAAGAAATCGCAAACGCTCCAAAATATGTTCCCAACTGGTTAATACTTCAGATCTGAGATCTTAGAATTGTAACTGTAGAAGAAGAAATTAATCATTGCTGCTCCAGATACAAGACTCGTCTAAGTCGACATCCACACCAATTAGCTTGTGACTTGCTCAAGCCTTTACCACCAAAGCGACTCAAAAGAAGAACCAGCAATGATCTACTACATAATATCAGGGAAGGTGCTATCGCTGGGTAGTGATCCTTCACACGCTGTCAAATCAAATTTACCTGATTAAGTAGCTGAATGCACTGTGTGTATAGTTTTCTATGTATAATAAAACAAACAAACAAAATCTAGTAATAATTTACCAGTTACAGTGTGAAACAACCTCAATATATAGGAAGTATTAATGTAACAATCATGAGAGAAGCGGACTGTAGTATAGCTATAGAAGATCACTTCAAGGCCACTCTCCGCATGGAGAGAAATAAGCCATTATAAAGAAAGAGATAAGATACAAGTTGATTTCTTCTTGCCGTACATTGTATCATTGAGCACGTTCTCATTTCGCTTGTATTAAATCATAAACATAATATATATTGTTTAACATGTGCGATACACCGTAAACATATGTTGTGGAGTCAATCGGAACAGACATCTCTCAGGAAAGCACTGATCGAGAACTGATTTTAGATCAGGTATAATATTTGATGAATTGACGAAAGTACTATTTTGCAATCGCAATTCTTATTCAAAATCTATGACATCAAC